TATATATATATGCAGGTACGCCATGGCTTTCTCTCACTTTGCTTGTTTCGCATGACCGGTAAACCGCCATTAGGCGTAACATCCAAGTTTTGTACATGTGAATACAAGCTGCGTAAGACCGGACTGTAAGGTTGAAACCACTCAACCTGAGAAGGATCCCTACTATTTCCGATAAGTGTGGTGGGTTCTTTTACGTGCGTGGGGTGTGACTGTCCCCAAACATGGGACCTCCATTCAACGTCCTATCCCAGGGACGTCCCTAACCGAAGCTAGGAACTCATTTACACCTGAGTGAAGTGAGCAAAGCTGTGTTACGGCCTTTTCGAAAGGCACAAGATCGGTGCAGTACGTTCTTTGCAGTACGTACCTCCATCTTTGGACCCTGTTGACTCGGCCGTGGCATTCCTGACGGCTGGGACTGGCTCGTGCATCTCAGCAGGTTCTTTCCCACCTGCGGATCGAGGCTCGGCATCAGCGTTCAGGCCATTGACCCAACACTTCCCTGTAACAAACAGGTTGTTAGTTTTATCGGAAATATATGTGAATAGTCTCGAAAGATTGAAACCCGAAATTTTTTTTCTGTTTTGTACAATCGTTGAAGAGGTTCATCAGTCACGTAGAATTAACAGTTAGTAGAAATTCTTCAATCAGTGACTGTATTTTTGTAAGGTAGATTACATACCTCCAAATTTTCGGCGTCGACTGTACACCTTGATCACGGAGTGACCCAGTCTCGCGAGAACACGAGACTAGGTCGAGACTAAAAGGACGGTAAATCCGCACTTAGCCAACATGAACTCAAAGCGGGACATAGGGTCACAAATGGCCCTATCTTGGACATCGTTAAGGTCATAGACCAGGAATCCCGGAAGTCACATAGAAAGATTAAGGAAGCGGTCCACATCCAGTTGGAACGTGCCGGGATGAATCGTAATGAAGGTTGGAGCTGCCCAAGTCCTACCTACCCCTACTCCGCAAGGAGGCGGGGGAGGTCAGAAGATCCACACAAGTCTCGACCTAGTCTCGTGTTTTCGAGACTAGGTCACTCCGTGATCAAGGTGTACAGTCGACACCGAAAATTTGGAGGTACGTAATCTACCTCACCAATACCAAGTATTGGTGTCATTACAGATGTCAGGCGACATAAAGCAACAGCATCAACAACACTAATTAAGACTATTTCCTGAGAGGGGTGAAGGAGGCTACATACATCAGGGCCCATCACCGCGACGGGGGCCGACATCGTCTACCAGATACTTTTGACCCAGTGTTGACGTCACACTTCAAAGACGCCACGTGACAAGCCTCATTGGGTCAGTCTACTGAGGAAGACGAGAGTGACTGGTAGAAAGCTCTAGGCGAGAAACTTTTTTGTACTGGATCTAAAGTTTTAACTTTAAACAGTTTAGGGTTTCGGAGCTTCGTTCCGTTTATAAGTTACCTTTTTCAGCAAATCGACGCTCAAACGTCTCTTTCCAGGACTGCAGTTCAAATGTCTCTTTTGTAATCATAACTGTGGAAAAACATACACATGTATCATAACAATGAATTTAGATGTCGGTTAGCTTGAGGAGTGAATTCCCTCTACTGTATATTTTCCTTTCCTTTTTTTGTTCTACCCTCTTCTTAATCCCTGTTTTCTATGTTCGTTCCTTACATCATTTTGGCCGTTTGAAACATCTTGAGCGACTATATTTGCCATTGGTATCTGTTACTTCTTCCTTGCAAAGATGGTTGTCTATTGGCTTGCTAACATGTATGGATGTATATGTATATTTACTAGCTTACAATGAATGAATGAATGAATGAATGAATGAATGAATGAATGAATGAATGAATGAATGAATGAATGAATGAATGAATGAATGAATGAATGAATGAATGAATGAATGAATGAATGAATGAAACTTTATTTTCGTGTCGTGCGCTGTACTAGTTTATATGTTTGTATGTCTACTGACTCACTAACATGGATGTCTATTGGCTCGCTAACATGGATGTCTCTATGTTTGTTAACTATTGACTTACATGCGATGTAAATCAGTAAAGCAGTGATGTTGACCATGTACACCAGCCGCCCGGTTCGAGCACAGCCTTTCCCCTTCTTGGTCTTCTTGGTGATGTTTTCAGCCTTTGAGTCTGCTCCTGACGGACAAAATACAATAAAAAAAATATAACGGATCCATCCATTGTTTAGAGTTAAACACAACAGTCCAACACAAAAGGTTCTCTCACCTAGAGCTTTCGACCAGTCACTCTGGTCTTCCTCAGTAGACTGACCCAGTGAAGCTTGTCACGTGGCCTCTTTGAAGTGTGACGTCAACACTGGGTCAAAGGTATTTGGTAGACGATGACTCAGTGTTGACTTCAGACTTCAGAGAAACCACGTGACAAGCCTCTCTGAGGAAGACCAGACTGACTGGCCGAAAGATCTAGGTGAGAGAACTTTTGTGTTGGATCTAAAGTTTTAACTCTATTCATGTGTAACTATACCAACACAGATGAATTTTTATGATAGGATCCATCCATTGTTGGGATGTGTTTTGATACAGCAAATGCTAACTCACTAAACTTTGTTGCCAACCAAAGTTAACTATACATTCTCTTCCAAGTCAAATTACCTACGACTTCGAACATGGTGGTCTCCAGCCTGGCTTGTCACATTTTTGGTAGGATTCTGTCACGACCAATGACCTGTGAACTATGTGGGGACTTCTTATCCCTGAGTCTAGAGAGGCTTCCTTGCCTAGACTGGTCGTATTAGCTCCCCAAGACAATCGAAATATCTTCAGCAATACTACTATCATTTTTGTAGGGAAGACAACAAGATTTCTACCTTTGGTTTGTCCATACATGGGGTTGGCAGGCAGGCCTAATTTGTTCACTTGCTCCTTCCAGTCCTCCTTTGGTTTTTCTGTTGGCGTGGAAACATCATGGTATCAGCGAGAAAAATTACTTTCGGTCATGGCTAATTTTGATTGCGACAAAGAGAATTTAATTACATCAAATAAATGACAAAAAGTTCGTTACAACATGACATATTGCATTATTTAGACATTGCTATAATTTTAGACTACCTTTTTATTGCGTAGATTTTAGTTATGTTATACTCGGTTTCAATGTTGTTTCATGTTTGTGATTTGCAATTAGCCTCCGAGCATGAATTTGCAATAAATTTATCTTGTGTCTTTTCTATGCTTTGGAGAGATAACTTGCTCATCGAGAGCAAAATCTTGGATACTGGAATGTTTGACGTCCCCTTACCTTTCCTGCTGGCATACATGGGGTTAGGGCAGAGTCCGGCGGCTTCGACTTTAGCCTTCCAGTCTGCTGACGGGTCATCCTTACGGCAGGCATCTACGTGGGACATGTCAAGATATGGGCATACCAGCTGAGCATCTTCGATCATACATGTATCAACCTTGTCCTAATATAAAATCTCCCTTAGTTCAAGTTCATATCACAATTTCCCATATTAGGCAAAGGGCATCATAACTAAGAAACTCCAGCACAAAGTGATAAAAGTTTTAGTGACGCAACAGAGATCACAGAGTGTCCAAAGTTGGAGGCACAGGTGAGATGGTGTCACAATAAATGTGCCCTAATTAAAAGAGGGCCTCAGTAACCAGCCCATATTCCGTGACTCTATTACCTTGAATGGTAGCGTACACGGGGTTGGACAGCTGTTACCTTGAATGGTAGCGTACACGGGGTTGGACAGCTGTTACCTTGAATGGTAGCGTACACGGGGTTGGAGCTGTTACCTTGAATGGTAGCGTACATGGGGTTGGCCAGCTATTACCTTGAATGGTAGCGTACATGGGGTTGGACAGCTATTACCTTGAATGGTAGCGTACATGGGGTTGGACAGCTGTTACCTTGAATGGTAGCGTACATGGGATTGGACAGCTGTTACCTTGAATGGTAGCGTACATGGGGTTGGACAGCTGTTACCTTGAATGGTAGCGTACATGGGGTTGGGCAGCTGTTACCTTGAATGGTAGCGTACATGGGGTTGGGCAGCTGTTACCTTGAATGGTTGCGTACATGGGGTTGGGCAGCTGTTACCTTGGATGGTAGCGTACATGGGATTGGACAGCTGTTACCTTGAATGATAGCGTAGATGGGGTTGGGCAGCTGTTACCTTGAATGATAGCGTACATGGGGTTGGGCAGCTGTTACCTTGAATGATAGCGTACATGGGGTTGGGCAGCTGTTACCTTGAATGGTAGCGTACATGGGGTTGGCCAGCAGTCCCTCGGCTTCCACTTGTTCCCTCCAGTCTCTGGGCTGGTTTTCTACAGCGGAGGCGTCTGCGGGAAACAGACGCCAACCATAAGCAGTGATTACTGGTGGTGACCGTGCAGCAAAATGGTGTAAACCTTCATGGCCAAAAAGCAGTTACTTAAACAACTGGATATGATTTTGATTTTGAAAACGATAAACCTTCATCGTTTTCCACAACCACCAACGGTTTGAGCTGGGTTCTTATTGTCATGGATCAGAATTCAAGGCAGCTAGATGGGATGACTTGTGGTTCTGGCCTAACCAATCTTGCAGCAATATGGCATGGACTGCTACAATATACCACAGGTTTCCGAAGGCTTGCATCATCTGGTGTTTAATCCTATCAGTCTGCTTTAGAACTGATGGGATCACGTCTCATCAATGAGACAATAACGTTACATACAATACATTCCAAAGGATTGGACAAGAACGTAAAAGTTGTAACTGAGTTAAACTTACCGCTGATGCGTTCGTACAGGCAGTTGTGAATCCTGGCGGCGGCATCCGCCAGAACCTCCATATCCACCTGGGGGTTATTAGAACCTGAAATAGTAGAGGAAAAGCATTAATGATGTTACTTTTTCACGAACTGAACTAAATTATAACATTTTATCGCAGTTTAGAATTGATATTTTAAAAAAGATATTGGTATTTCTAATTCTGCTGTGATGAATCGTCTGTTGCTCCTAAGGGCGGTTTTATGGAACCAGTCGAAAATGGGTCATTTTCATGCCCGTATTCAGGCAGGGTGAAGGTTAGGGTTAGGGACGAAGCTCCAAAGGTCGGTTCTACCGGCTGCACAGATACGGAACAAGGCGAACCTGCGCCATTTTCCTGCAGGTAGCCAGGCAGGACCTCTGCTGCATCGGCCAGTTCGTCGGTAGGGGGCGCTTCCCCCAGCCCGGCACCTGTAGTGGGAAGGAAAACGTAAAGCTTTCTGCATCTACTTCTTCTTCATCCAAACCTCAATAAGCTGATTCTCTGAGCTTAGATAACTGCAGCTGAGAACACTTAAAAGTCATCTTAAAGGAGATGGGATGATTTGAATTGTTAATCATCAGCATGTATAAGAGCATGTATCGTCGGTGTGTAGCCTACAATATGTCTTATGGTAACCATGTTAGGATCTTTTACCTATCAAAGACTGACCTGAAGTATTGACAAGTTAGTGAGAGGTCTGTTCAGAGCTAACAGCATGGATATGATATCAGTAAAATAGGTTTGATGATGAAAATAGATATATCTAAATCAAGTCGTGTTGATAACCGTAGATTGACTATGCTTTACCATTTCGCCTGTCATCCATGGAGCTGGGCAGCAGTGCGGAGGCGTCAGCTGAAGGTTGCTGGTCTGTTGGCGGGACGGCCGGTGCGGCATCTGCAGAGAACATACGGTACACTCGTCAAACATGACATCACATACTGCATTATCTGGTCTACAGAGAACACGGTACAATCATCAAACATGACATCACATACTGCATTATCTGGTCTACAGAGAACATACGGTACAATCATCAAACATGACATCACATACTGCATTATCTGGCCTACAGAGAACATACGGTACAATCATCAAACATGACATCACATACTGCATTATCTGGTCTACAGAGAACATACGGTACAATCATCAAACATGACATCACATACTGCACTATCTGGTCTACAGAGAACATACGGTACAATCATCAAACAGGGCTTCATATTACTGCCTTATCTGTTGGGCTCATTAGGGTCAGAGAACTTATTCTCAAAGGTTGTAGACCTAAGCTACTGTTGTGGTCCTAGGCCTGCAACCAACCAATAAAAAACATCATATTCCACTGAACGGTGACAGGGTCGTTAAAATATTTGATGAACAAAAGCTACTTTAATTGCTATCCTCTACTTCAGTAAAATTTAAGTATGAATCCAATGAATAGCTTTGACAGGCCAAAACGGCCCTGGTGACTGTACCTTGTAGCAGGTGGCAGAAAGTTGGACATTTTAGACTAAAAACTTACTTTTGACGCGTTCGTACAGCTGGTTCTGAATCCTGGCGGCGGCGTCAGCGAGAAGTTCCACATCCACGCTGGGCTGAGCGGACCCTGCGGATGTACATGTACATGTTTCATCGGTGTATTGTGATCCATAACCCGGCAATACTTCTCTACCCTGGCTACCAGACCTATTATGATTTGATTTGATTTGATTTATTGAAATTGTAACAGTACAATACACGCGGAACAGAGGTTGCTGTTGCTGGTGTTGTGTCCCGCACATAGAAACAGATACAGGACAGACAATACTGATTTTTTACTTGAGTCTAGTGGGGAAAGTCGTGTTAAGTGCCTTTCTCAGGGGCACAAGATCGGTGGCATGTCAGGACTCGAACCTGGGACCTCTTGATTCCGAGTCGCGCACGCTGTCGTTGCGCCGTACTCCGCAAAGAGGATGTAGGACTCATGAGCTATAATAGGTCTGCTAACCAGGCTAATACTTCTCCGATAAACATGTACATTGTCTTATATGATTGCAATTTCAATATTGAAAACAGGTTATTGAAACTGTAACCTGTCCGACGGCAGGACAGACTGCTATGGGACCGGTGAGGTGAGGTGAGGAACCTGCCCTACCTGTGTCGTGTTTGTGCAGGTACTGCGGTAGGATGACGGAGGCATCAGCCAGGTCATCAGTAGTCTCCCCAAGGTGCTTCCCACCTGTCTGGCCTGTCAGTACAAGTTACAGGTTTATTTTTCTATACAGAGGTGCTTTACGTGTGCTATGTGCTATGTGAGGTATGTACGTGTAGATATGTTGTAGCAAACCAGGCCAATCAACATGAACATGTATGAAATGTGGAGAAGATAGAGGTAAATGTGGGCTGTAGTGAAGCCGGGTTATTTATCGCGGTAGTTTCTTAAACACAAACTCGTCTAACATCAATTATATTGGGCTAATACTTGACAAATATACCAAAACCAATGCCAAATAATCATTGTTTATCATTTTTTCGGCAACAATGCAAACAACACACACTCGGAGTCACCCAAGGCACAACCGTGACAGGTTTCGAGACAGAGACATGTAAGTTCTTGCAAACCAGACCAATCAAGTTGTGTTTCCTGTGTATGCCTGAAAAGCAAATGTCAATGTTGAAAAATACATCAGACTAATCTCATTATTACACTGTGTTGAAAACATCCAGAAGGAGGCAGTACTTATTAGTCTACTGCTCCGGGAAAAAGCGAGACCCTGTCACGAAGGAAATCTATTTATGTATTGCCGTAAACCAGACAAGAGAAATGGTGTTTTCGGCACGTATCAAGTCTTTCCCCGGCCTCTCACGACAGATCAAATGTTGATATACCAGGCAGCTGTTTAGTCTCCAGGCAGACCACACAGCCCACGTGTTCTATGTGGGTGGAGTGGGCAGAGGTGGCAAAAAAAGAAAAAAACAACAAAAAACATGGCAAACTGGTCTGTACCTTGGGCTTATGCTCTCCCGCGGTTAAAAGTGGACTTTCCAGAAATTTTCAGGTTATGTTGACAACTTACTTACTGACGAAAACTTGGAAGTTTTTATTAGAGAAGGTCAATCATTGATGAATCAGCTTTGGTAAATACAGGATTAAAAATTAAACCATTAAAACACTAAACCATCAAAACATTTAACTTTTACTCCTTTTTTCTAAATTATCAACCACTAAGCCCACAACCTATGAGTATACAGCCATTCTGCTCACAACGACAGGTAGGCGTTGTTGTAGACAATCAGGCTGTTCAGGTGTGAAGTTTCACCAAGTTTACTCTCCCACGCATAGTTACTGATTCATGTGTCTGCTGAAAAAAGTACGGCGCCAGACAGACTAATTTGCACGGCGGCGGTTAAAATATCAAACTGTTGTGCACAGCTGGAAGCTTCCATGCATCGGGGACCATTGTACCCCCTCCACACCCCTGAACGCGGGCCAAAGGTTGAACATAGATTTTAATAAAACCCGTTTTGAAAGTTCATCTGTGTTGGTAGTTATATGTTTAAAGTTAAAACTTTTGGTCCAACACAAAAAAATTCTCTCACCTAGAGCTTTCGACCAGTCACTCTGGTCTTCCTCAGTAGCCACGTAACAGGCTTTACTGGGTCAGTCTACTGAGGAAGACCAGAGTGACTGGTCGAAAGCTCTAGGTGAGAGAACTTTTTTTGCGTTGGACCAAAAGTTTTATCTTGAATGTATATCAAACTCATCTTGTTCAAACGGACGGGTCTAACGCCACTTGATAACAGAATGTTATATCACTATAAAAGCCTTACCCGACTCGGTTCCGTGCAGCTTGTCTGTCCGTGCAACCTCAGCAGCAGCATCAGAAGGAGTCCCGTGGTCTGACATGTCGCCTGCAGGAGAGGGGAGGGTGGTTAATTATCCCGATGAATTAGTCTGACGTGTGACCTCAACGTGTATATAGATTTGTAGTCATATCTGTATATTTGTACTGTGTGTGTAATATGTAATGAGCCCTGGAAGATTAGCCCTAACGGCCTAAAGGGTATCGTAATAAACTGAACTGAACTTGCAGTTGTTTCAAGTGCATAGTAACCCTTACGAGTAGATGTGGTTTCGGTGATAGGTTTGGTACAATAATCATCTTAACTGGGTTACAAAATGAGTTGTTATTGCGGTATATTGTTGACATGGACATTATTAATACAGTTATTGCTAAAAAACTTATTCGAGATGTATTACTCACCTTCAAACATTTCTACCTTAAAAGTCTTAAAACCGGCTTACATACCTATAAGGTCACTATACTCATAAAACAGATGTCAGTCATAAACGTACTCTTGACCATTTCAGCCAAGATGTGCCAAAAATTATATGCGCAGAAAATATGGTTCAGGGCAAGTCTGCTCTTACCTGATCCGCCAGATTATACGTGGAAGTAGTGAGAACGCTACGGTTAGCAAAATCCGTACAGAAGTACAGAAAAAGACGGAATTCGTCCCACTTACCCTGCTCTGTTTCCAGGTGCACCGTATCCCCCTGCCCCGGTGTCCCTCGGTCCGGAGTCCCTTGGTTCGGATTCCCTCGGTCCGGATCCCCTCGGTCCGGATCCCCTCGGTCCGGATTCCCTCGGTTTGGAGTCCCTTGCTCCAGTGTATCCGCCACGTCTGTACCGTCTGGTTCCCCCATCTATATCGGCATCACCGGTACCGCCTACCCACACGCTTTAAAAGCTTGCCTACCCAGACTTTGACTCGACACGTAGCACGTTTGGCACACGTGTGGGTTGTTTTCGCCACTTCTCCGAACACATGAATAAATTCCATATTTCTGGGTAATATGACGTAACATTGTTCTGGTCGCACTTTTCACGCCAAAATATTCCCTAAGTTTACATGAAAATACATCAGCTGCTGCCTGTTACCAAACCTCCCTTTCTGATATTTTCTTCTTACCTTCTTGCAGAAATGTTTGATCTGATTTTTTTTCTCGGGTGTAAGCAAATCAGCGTGCGGAGGCGGACTGTTTGTGTAAAATAACTGGCTGTCGCTGCGCCGCATGCCTGCCAAGCTGGTGTTTACCCAAAATGTGGTTATACAGACTATACAGATACAGATATCACTTAAAAGCGAATATTTCTGATGAATGTTTATTTGTCTACTGGTAAAAATCTGTTGCACTTTACATGGTTTGGTGACGATCTGCTTGTAAATTTGCACAGAGCCGTGCGGCAGTTTACATCCTGGTGGGTCATTTTTACAGCAACTGAACCGTCGTAGTTTACATATAATTACATATTCAAGCGTTTAGAACTAAGTTTATTTCTTACATCATAACTGAGTTTCAATGTTTGTTAAAAGCCAAACAATTACAATATCACGGTAACTCTACATGCTTCGTTTCTTCTTTCGTCTCCAAACTGTCCTCCTCCACGAAGTGGTTGTCCTTCGCCATGAGTCCGGACAGCGCCACCAGCTTGTCGAAGTCTCGCGGCCTCGTCTTCATCTCCACGAACTCCGGGTACAGGAAGATCTCGCGAGATGTCCACCCGTAGTTCACGCCGCCATGTTCGCCGTTCAGTCCGACCTTAAAAACACAGGAGACATTTTTTTAGATGTTCCTAGTGGGCCAGGAGGGTCTGAAGAACGAGGCTAACTTCGCTGCGGGGGCGGCGGCGGCACGTTCGTGACGCGGTGGTGTGACGTCACGCCCCTCGTCATCGCGGGAGGGAGGGGGATCGAGTGGCTGCAGATCAGGTTTGTTTGTTTGTTTGTTTGTTTGTTTGTCCCATTAGTGAATATATGCATTTTCTACACTATTCTGCCGGGAGTCGTAAAAACACATATCATTACAAAACTTATTAACACAGACGTATGCATGTGTTTAAAGGTAAAACTTTTGGTCCAACACAAAAAGTTCTCTGATCTAGAGTTTTTAGACCAGTCACTCTGGTCTTCCTCAGTAGACTGACCCAGTGAGGCTTGTCACATGGCTTCTTTGAAGTTAAAAGTCAACACTCGGTCAGAGGTATCTGTAGACGATATCGATGTCTACTGAGGAAGACCAGAGTGACTGGTCGAAAGCTCTACGTAGGTCAGAGAACGTTTTGTGTTGGGTCGAAAGTTTGAACTCTAAACATGTAACTACCAACACAGATGAACTTTCATGATAGTATTTTTTTTAGATTTTAACGTAGTTTTGAGGTGTTCAGATATTTGGAATTGCCGCCATGGGACATCGAAGGGTGTCTCTCATAGCCACCGAGCGTAAAAAGGGCATCCTCATAGCAATATAGCTTTCTCACTACTAGTAGGTAATTGATGGTGATGGTATAAAGTGGTTACGTTTAACAACTTTGTGCTTGCAACTTTGTTTTACTAAAGGACGATCATGCCGGGTATACAAATTATACGGAATATGTAAGAAAGCAGAAATGGATACAGATACAAAAACAGAAACGGAAACAAAAACAAAAACAGGTACAGAAACAGATACAGACGGAGAAACAGAAGCAGACACAGGTACAAATACAGATACAGAAACAGAAACAAAAAAAGAAGCCCAGTCAGCTACTTTGCAGCCACCTCGCACTCCGGCTCCCGGTACCACCAGCCCCCTTTGAAGTCTGCCGCACAGTTACAGTCCGCGCATGCGTCGTTATCCCGGTCAGCCGTGGTGAAGGGCACGTGATCGACCTTGGCGTCCTGCGTCATGGCATCGCCTGCGTTGCCATGGAAACCGCTGAGTGACAGGCGGTAGTCCTTGTCCTCCTGGTCTACACTGAAACTGGAGTAGGAGGCGTGCCTGTGGACACAGCAAGGGTGACGTCAGAAACATACATGATTCATAATTACAGTTACTAGCATCTGACTTTAGCCATTGAATAGGAAATAACAGATATACACCAATCAGCGTAAGTCCTACAACTTTGATGTTGAGATAATTCAATTAGAGGTGTTAAATACCTTGTTAATTTGATTTCTTACTTAGTTATCACAGAAAATATCACATTATACAGTTGCAGCGGGATGTGTATGACCTAAGTTCAACCGCAGAAATGGCGACTATGCATGTTAGGTTAAAAGCAGACACCCCTTATATAAGAAAAAGTGGTGTAAAACGATGTCATATATAACAATAACAACAAAAAGCGGGTATTTTACGTACCACCTAGTGGACGCACTGCGCATGTCTATTCTAAGGACGTTGTCCCTGCCGCTGGTCAGGTGATGCAGAGCCTCGTTCCCGAGCCAGTGCTCCCCGCGCACGTCGCCGAATCCGCGGCTATACTCAGTCCAGTTCTTGTGGAAGAAGCGCAGTGGACCCATCCAGTCCGGGCGTCGCTGGATCACCGTCCAGCCTGAGGGGGAGGGATAGGGAGGGGTTAGGGTGGGATAGGGAGGGATAAGGTGGTAGTCTCGAACTCCAAGCAGGTTTCTTCAGGGGCAGAGGAGTCTATTGCTCCCTGTACGGGGCCTAGCTGGTTACAGAAGGATAATGGACGCCTCTTTTCCCCGAAGGAACCAGCTTAGAGTTTATACAATATAATATGCCATGTACCGAGTCATTTCAAAACTGCACAAATAATACATTTTTACTTTATCCCTGTGTAAAGGGTAGGAAAGACTCGTCATGCGTTATCAGATAGTGCGTAACGCGTCATCAGACAGTGCGTAACGCGTCATCAGACAATGCGTGACGCGTCATCAAACAGTGCATAACACGTCATCAGACCGTGCATAACGCGTCATCAGACAGCGCGTAACGCGTCATCAGACGTTGCGTACCTCCACTCTCGGTGTCCATGTCGCAGAACGCTTCTATGACCGGCCCGCCGTCGGCAATGTCCGGCTGTATTCGGTAAACTCCGCTCTGCCACACCCCCTTTCGGTACAGCTCGGAACAGTCTCGGGCGTTGGCTGTGTACGGTACAGGAAAACGATATCTTTATATATAGAACTATTATTTGAGAATAGCTCCATGCTTCAAACAAGACACCGCCGGCAATTCCAGGAAATAACGAAAAGCTTCGATAAAGAAATAAGCATTTGAAAGTGACATTTCAAAGAGCGTTGATAAAGGATAAAGAACGTGACTAAGTTTTCATAAGTTTTATGATAAATGGGTTTGCATTGAAGTAGCTGGGGAAGTACGTTAATGTTCGCATCTAATCATTCAAGGTTCAGCCAGATACAGCCTGACGTGAAAGAGCAAAATGAGCCGGAAGCAAATATCTGACCGGGCGTGAAGACGGAGAAGTAGACGGCGGAGGCGTTAGGGTTAGGGTTAGGGTTAGGGTTAGGAAAGTAAGTAATTGTCTGACCGGGCGTGAAGGCGGGGAAGTAGACGGTGGAGGCGTCGGCCTGCGTCAGCTGCAGGGGCACGTCATTGCGGACCACGTGATTACTATCCGTGACCTTTCTGACCTCCAGGGTCAGGTTGTCCATCCGGGACCTGCACTCCCCCTGCACCGCCAGACAGCCCCAGGCGATGTTGTCCTGGACCTGCTCAACATGACGTCATAAAGTCAAACAAACAAACAAACAAACAGGTAAACATGGCACATTCGGGACCTGCACCGCCAGACAGCCCGAGGCAATGTTGTCTTGGACCTAAACAACATGACGTCATAAAGTCAAACAAACAAACAAACAGGTAAACATGGCACATCCGGGACCTGCACCGCCAGACAGCCCCAGGCGATGTTATCCTGGACCTGCACAACATGACGTCATAAAGTCAAACAAACAAACAAACAAACAGGTAAACATGGCACATCCGGGACCAGCACAACATGACGTCATAAAGTCAAACAAACAAACAAACAGGTAAACATGGCACACCCGGGACCAGCACAACATGACGTCATTAAGTCAAACAAACAAACAAACAAACAAACAAACAAACAAACAAACAAACAAACAGGTAAACATGGCACATCCGGGACCTGCGCAATATGACGTCAAAAAGTCATACAAACAAACAAACAAACAAACAGGTAAACATGGCACATCCTGGTTTTGCATACCCAGAGTCGTTGAAGCATTTAAGACTTAGACTAAACTTCTACCGACATAATTAGTCTCTGCACTTACCTCACTCATGTTTTTGTTTGTCTCCTCCCTGATTCTGTTCTCCATATCGAACATGACGTCACTGACGTTGTGCGTGACCCGGAAGCACTCTTCCTCCATCCGGGTCACGTTCTCCGCCCATCGAAGCTTCACTTGCTCCAGTTCTTCCTTAAGCCGCAAGGTGTCGTTTCCGGTCTGGCAGGTCTTTTCTTCCAGTCTGAAGGAGGGCAAACATAGTCGGATAAGAACACCCAACAAACAACCAAACAAACAAACAAACAAACAAACAAACAAACAAACTCTCCACTGAACCGCGACGAGGGGCGTCATATCTTCTCCTACCAGATACCTTTGACCCAGTGTTGACGTCCTAGAAAAAAGTTGTCTCACCTAGAGCTTTCGACCAGTCACTTCTGGTCTTCCTCAGTAGACTGACCCAGTGAAGCTTATCACGTGGCTTCTTTGAAGTGTGACGTCAACACTGGGTCAAAGATATCTGGTGTGTTATGCCTAAAGACAGTTTACCAGTTATGCGAAACAAACAAACAAAACTGGTGTGTTATGCCTAAAGGCAGTTTACCGGTTATGCGAAACAAACAAAAAAGCCCAGCTGACCTGGCGTTTGTGTGGCGACGACACTCCATTAGTTACGTACACAGGACTTACTAAAGTTATCATTCACTACATTTTATGTGAAAAACGGACAAGAAACCTACTTTTAAAGGAAACTGATTTGTCTACAAACGAGTGAAGCGAGCTGACCTGGCGTTCGTGTTTTGACACTCCAGTGCGAGTTCCTCCAGCTGCTGTTTCAGCTGCATGTTTTCCGCCCGGACGTCTCCCAGCTCAAGCTCAAGCTCCCACGAGTGGGACTCCAGCGTTTCGATGCGCTCCACGAGCCTGGCCAGGTTTTCGGTGTGGTTGGCTGCGATCCCTTCCAGGGCCGGCCGGAAGTGCGAGAAATGCTCCTGCAAGATTCAACATTCTTTTTTAAATGTTACAATTTTTTTTTTATATTCCAACATGTAATCACAAGACGTGGTGACGGCACACTGAAGTTTTTTTCAACGTATATTAATGCAGCCACCAACACAGAGGACACTACAATACTCATTTTCACCTGAGCGAAGTGAGAAAAGTCGACGTGTAAAATGCCTTTCTCAAGGGCAAACGATCGGTGACATCGGGCAGGATTCGAAACCGGGACCTCTTGGGTCTAAGCCAAACACGCTACACGACCCCACGACGATTCAACATTCAAGCCTTTATTGGATAAGTAACAGTTAGCAACTATATAATAGACAAATGCAAAATAAAACAAACAAACACAAAATCAATCGACTAGTTTTAAAGCTAACAATGAACGTCAAAAGTCATATTGCACAAGTGAGGAATCTCTAGGCTAATAGATTGATAGGTAATGGATAATGTTGTCATAATGTTATCTTTTAATCTTGTAGTATTGGGAAGGGCCAAAGATTTCCAGGTTTCCGGCCCTCCCAGGCTTGTCTTTCATTTGTTACATTTTATTTCATTCGTAAATGCAAAAACAACAAATAAACAAAAATAAACAAAAATCTGCTTGGGAACCCGATTTTTCAAAGTCAATATTCTAGTCATTTATCTACATGAATTGAAACCACATTATCCCAGTGTATATTGACCCCGAAATAGCACAAATATCCAAAATTCTGACAGAAAATGGTTACTGGATTAAATTTTAGGGTACCATCCATAAAATAAAGGACTCAACTTGGGGCTTGTTTCTGCAGTTTTAAATACCCAAAGTACAAAATACTAATTAAAATATGCTAATGTGAAGTAGTATGTGTCAGTATAAAGATTGCCTTATTCAGAATGTATTCAGTTTTGCTACTCTGAAATCGCATTGGGTGCCTCTAAGGTGATCTAAATACTACTTAGTCAAGTCGTACTCACGCTGAAGCCGTTGAGAAACTCCCCATGTATATACCTTTTCATTTGTTCACCTGTAATTAGCTCGATATGGCATTAATGTACAATAAAGCTTAATTACTAATTAATGAAGTTGTACTCACGCTGAAGTCGTTGACAAACTGCTGCCCGTCCCCGTCAGCGGGAAGCTTCAGGTTGAAGGTGTTGTACGTGTTGAACATGTTCGTCAGCGGTTTCTCATCTTCTGCCGTCTCCGCAGAGATGTTCTGCCTCTCAGAGCTGCCGGATTTCGGCAGGTTTGTGTCCCCCCGGAAGACGGCCGGTCCGCCGTACTTACTTGCCTTGACGCCCAGGGTTCCCTCCCCGTGTGCGACCGCCTTGTCGTGTTGCGATTTCTGTCCCTCCTTCACACCACCTTTAATCCACTTGAGGAAGTCTGTCGCTGTGTCCAAACCTCCGTCCGTCTTGTTGGGTCTTAACGGCTCCGGGTCGTCTCTGGCCGGGAAATCCGCGAAGCCGGCAGACAGATCGTCAGTTGTACCCTCCGATTCGGGGTCCCACGAGACCGCCTCATCAGGCGCGGCTTTGGCTGCAGAGTCTTTGTCTGCAGAGTATTGCGCTGCAGAGTCGGGCTCGGCAAAGTTGGACATCTCATACGTCTCCGCGTCTTTCCCAAGAGACGAACTGGCAGAAACTTTGCCACTACCAACGGATAAAAGTTCTTCTTCAGACTCTTTACTCGTCAGGCCTGCCGCATCCGCGCTGTTCTGGTTCTCAGTTACATCTTTGGACATTGGAGCGTCTGTGGAAAACTCGGGACTAGAACTCGTGCCTTGTGGCGCGTCGGGATTAGAACTCGTGCTTTGCGGCGCGTCGGGACTAGAACTAGTGCCCTTTGGTGTGACGGGTGTGCCCGTGGAGTTGGAACCGTCCGGGGTAGTTGGACGCGTTAGTTGCTGGTCGGCAGGAGTTGTGGAAGGCTCGGCGGTTGTGATTGCACGCTGCTCGCCGCGAATGTAGTACTCAGGCGGCGGCAGCTTGCCGTACCGCTCGCCGTCCGCGATGTCGCCCCTCGGGATGTCGCCGCCCCTCCCCAGAACCCCGACCAGAAAGCTCAGGCAGGCCGCCGCAACAAGCAGCCCAGAACTCATATCCACACAGTCGCAGTTTCTTCAGGGAAATGCCCAAAAAGTTACTCAAACAACTGGATATGGTTTTCTAATCGGCCAGATGGTTTCGCGTACCATCCACTACCTTTCGTCGGTGACACTGGAGAGTTGTCAGAAAATTACCTGGATGTCTAACCTCACCGAGTATCTTCACAGAGAGGGCTGAATGTAGAGACGAACTGAGACCCCGCCTGCTGAAGTGGCCCCTCCTCTAACAGCGGAAACCTTTGAACAATGTGTGGTCGATCGGGATTACTGATACGGACTTAGCCTATACCAGGCTTCGGGAGGCGGATGAAAAAGTAGAGATCGGCCGAACAGAGAGAATTAGCATGCCAGGGGAGTTGGTCTGCTGGAGAGAACAGTTTCGGGTGCGGGAAACATAAATCTCTAGCGGACCAACTCACTTGTCACGCCATCTCTCTATTTGACCGATTTCTTGTCTTTTCAGCTGCCTCCCGAAGCCTGGTAGAGGCTAATACAGACTGGCCGATTCTGGTTGGCTGAAATGGATCGCACTTCAGTAGTTATCTTAACCAACAAAGCATGGCTCGACTAACCCCACCTGCTATACTTGTACATGCTTTATTTCATCTCTAATCACAAAGTTTTCTATTTTCATTCGGAGATGAATTTATTAAAACAGTAAATAAACATGTTACGTTTATTTTTAATGAGGAAGATCTTACACGGCTCAGGGCAGCAGGAAACCGGAAGTGGTCCTGCTGTAACCGGAAGTCGTTTCGGGTTTGGGCCCGGCGCTATCACAAACTGTCCCGGATGCACATTTCGGTACTTCCGGTGGCGGCGGGGTTATCCCAGGGCGAGTGGAGACTTGAGCGAGTTGGTCGTAAAGGTCAGGATAAGTACTGATGACCAAATAAGGTTAGATAAACGTCACGGGAGTTGGCGTGCGCAGTGCCTGGTGGGAGATTTGGTTAGCTTGACTCTCTCCGATCAGCTGATACATCTTGGCAGTTCATTGCCCCCCCCCCTCTTTCGCTATTATCTTTGTGACTCTACCGTTTACTGTGTATTCCATTGCGAGCCATTCATTCTCGTTCTACAGAAGCGTTGACTGGAACGCACAGCGGCGTGACATTTTATGGCATGTATCAAATCATAGAGATATTAGAACACTTGTGTAGTGAGACTGTTAAGTTGTTAAAACAGTTTGTAGTAAAATGTACCATTTAGTCTGTAAATGCGCGCTTCCTTTTTATAACTAATCATAATGATTGTAATAAACCATTCATTCATCATTTATTAATTCATTCATCCATTCATCCATCTCAACAATTCGGCTGTCTGCGTTTTTTAAGTGACTTGCAATATAGCGACAACAGCAAGGAGGCGACGTTCAGTGCATATTATTTAATGGTTGTGCATGATGTCTCTCGCCGTTTATTACAGGTGAAAATGTAAAGAATAACCACACTGTGCAGGCCAGTATTTGCCATAATGTGCATCGCACAGGTCAGTGTGCTTCTAAGCTACATTCAATGCATTCTTTAATACACTGTACAGGAATACAAGTCTAGTAGAGTAGGGTGCATCATTTACTCATGCCTTTTGGGTTCTTATCGGATTTTCAAATATCAATTTACATGTAGTTGTAGTCATGCATGTTGTGCACAGTAAATATACAACTTGAGTAGCTGAGATTCCTTACCTTTTAGAATTAGTTATTTGTGTCTTTTACATGCAATCTGTACAATACAGTGAATCACGTAGAAAAGTACTAACTTCGCTAGGTGTTTTTGCTTACATTTCCAAGTTACGTACCTTGCAAGCTATTACGTTTGGTTTCTTTTCTATTCTACGCAACCAATATTAAATCGACTCTTGCGATGTGCGTTTCACGTTTTTCCACAAAAATACACTACATTGAAGACGTGGCTATCTATATAAATCAGTTAATCGTTTTTTTCTTAGTTTTTTTTCTTCTACTATGATATAACTTCACCTTTTTGAGTAAGGAAATTGTTAACATATAAACGGAAAAGGCTAATTTATCTATGGAATGTATGTACAATTTAGTTCACATCTCGGACGTCCTTTTATAGCCAGCAAGACCTTCAGACAGCTTGTACGTGTAAAAACTATGTGCTAAACTATCACCGAGGTCCCTTTTCTATCCAACACCTGCCATATAGTTCTTTTTTAGCAGAAGTAATATTGAAGAGGAAAAAGTCAGCTCTTAGGCTGTTCCTGTCCGGCAGTAAAAAAAGAATCTGGTAGAAGTTCGGCTGAAGACGCGGAAGTATTTTGTGCTGGCTTCCTTTTACCTTAGTCGTCGCTAGTACGGGAAGTAGTGAAGTATTAATCTCCAATCGGATCCCTTTCGGTGGCAAGACAGTATCCATTAGCCAGGGGAGGTCGCCGGCCACCGTTGGTGGGGTAGTAGCGACTAAAAAAAAAAACTATATAAAAAGCTCACGATCATTCCCCCACAACCTCTGCTTTGAGAGTAGTGAAGTATGCGATGTCCTTTGTTGTCGTTAGCACAAGTAGTAGTGAAGTCTTGAGCCGTTAGCAGGAGTACAGTGTAGTATGTAAAGTACGCGATGTTCCTTGTGCCGTTAGTAGGAGTAGTAGATGAAGTTTTGACCCAGAGTAGTAGGTGAAGTAAGCGATGTTGAGCACGGCGAAGGTAAAGGGAGACCCGAAGCGCGCGTACTGGTCGTTAGTACGCGGGTAGTAGTGAAGTATGCGATGTCCTTACACTGTTAGTAGGAGTAGTAGTGAAGTATGCCACCTTTAGTAGTAGGAGTAGTAGGTAAAGTACGTGGTGTTCCTTGTACCGTTAGTAGTAGTATTACGTGAAGTATTACCGTCGTTAGTAGGAGTAGTAGGTGAAGTAAGCGATGTTGAGCACGGCGAAGGTAAACGGAAAACCGAACCGCGCGTACTGGTCGTTAGTACGGGTAGTAGTAAAGTATGCGATGTCCTTACACTGTTAGTAGGAGTAGTAGTGAAGTAGGAGTAGTAGTGAGTACGAGTAGTAGGTGAAGTACGCGATGTTGAGCACGGCGAAGGTAAACGGAAAGCCGAAGCGCGCGTACTGGTCGATTATAATGGCGTCTTTCAACCTCGGCATCCTGTAGCTCAGACCACGTGACAGGCATCGGTGGATTCTGGTTGGTCGGTGTCCCTCGTTCATGGTGACGTAATCATCATCAGGCTCCAAAACCTGCAGAAAAGTGTAAAAAAATCTAAATATTCAAATGTAATTTCAAGTTTTTCTATGTATGTTCAATTTTTAGCAGGTGTCCGATATAATTTTATTGGTGTAACGTGTCGCTGATTTTTGCTTCTATGATATGTCACAACTCCATTCAGCTAAATCGACATAACTGCTTCTTATACTATCATGAAAGTTGTGTTGGTAGTTACATGTTTAGAGTTATAACTCTAGACCCAACTCAAAAAGTTGATCTGAACCGCGACGGGGGCCGACATCGTCTACCAGATACCTTTGACCTAGTTTTAACGTCACACTTCAAAGACGCCACGTGAAAAGCCTCAGTGGGTCAGTCTACTGAGGAAGACCAGAGTGACTGGTCGAAAGCACTAGGTGAGAGAACGTTTTGTTGAAGTTTTAATTCTAAACATAGCTGCTTCTTTGTGACAACTGGAAACTGTTGTAAGTTTATTTTAAAGATTGCGTGTGAATAAACCTCTCCCTAACCTCGCGAGAGTTGCAGCCGCTCGTGTCGTTGCTAGGAGACGCGTCGTTGCTAGGCGACGTGGTGACGTTGGAGCCCGCTCTCGGGCCGTTGAGGGGAGAAGTCTCGTCGATGTCCACCTGGAAGGTCTTGGCGCTGCAGGGCTTGTCAATCAATCAATCAATCAATCAATCAATCGATCGATCAAATTTTCAACCGACTTCGCAGCATCAAGCTGCTGCAATTTCGTCAATTGTAACATTCATTTAAAAACATTATACATCAATATAAAATCGTTAATAGTACATTAATACGTAAGCAGTTTCTTACTTTGTCGAACGAGGTGGAGGCCATGAGGTTGTTCGGGAGGGAGTTTCCGCGGTCCAGGCGGCAGCGAGCGGACCTGCCCGGCAGCCTCTGCAGGCTGATGCCTTTCTGCGCGCTCTGAAACACAAAATACAACAGTCTCATTGTCTCATCAGAACTTTCGGCCTGAAACATGGGAGACAACATTCCGGCTCATCACGCCTGCGGACCTGCCACCGAAACGTCGGCTGAATAAAAGACTTGGTTGTGTAAAAACAAGGGGGGGGGGGGGGGCTAAGCCAGCATTGGCAGCTGATGCCATCGGATGATTGACGAAAGGTAGTGGATGCTACCTAAAACGTCTGACCGTTTCCAAAACCATATTTAGTTGCTTAAGTAACTACTTTTGTGGCGTATCTTATTACCTGATTGTCTAACCTTCACCGACGTACATCGGATGATTGTTCTATTTTACTCACGTTACATTCCTCGCAGTCGCACTCGAGTTTCTCCACATGAATATACACATACTACTGATATTAAGTTTGCATCCCAGATATGACAAGTTCTGATTATAAAGCCAGATAGACTGATGTAGAAACGAGTTCTGAAGTCTTACTCATTACTGCGGGCCCGCATGCCCTTTTCCGTAGAATTAAATCGGCCGTTTTAATTCTACGTAGAGCGTAGACGGACCGCTGTAATATTTTTGCGCAGAGCGTATTCGGCGTTTTAATTCTACGTAACGCGTTGTAGCCACTTGGAATTTATCGTAAAGCGTAATCGAGAGGTTTCCGAATTCAGCGTAGAGCGTTGTCGCCCCCCCCCCTTTGCAGGCCCTCAATACTCACGTTACATTCCTCGCAGTCGCACTCGAGCTTCTCCACGTCTTTGTTCTGCTTCTTGCGCTTGAGCGCCATCTTGGAGGAGACGAAGTTGACGGCCGCGTACTCCACCAGCGCGAAGAACGTGAACAGGAAGCACATCACCTAAACAAACAAACAAACAAACAAACAAACATCACCTACAGTCACAACACACACCTGTTACCTGAGAAATAACATCACCTACAGTCACAAAACACACATGTTACCTGAGGAAGCACATCACCTACAGTCCAAAAACACAATAATCTTATTGACCAGCACAATATGGATGAAAAATTAAGTTTAGAATTTTCTTAAGTACCCACTCTGGGGTTGAGCTCATAGACATGTTATTAATAACTTGTGACAGGGCTAAAGTT